CGACGACGACTACGACGGACGACGACCAACGGCGCTTCCGGCGCCAAACAGCGCCGAGCTTTGGAGAATCATGTGTGTTCTGCTCATCTGTGCCAGCGTCTGTTCACCATTGGCACGGGGTCCCTGCCCCCCAACGTCCCACTAACATTGGTTTCACTTTACGAACTATGGCTCTTGTTTGTGCGAGCAGACGGCTTGCATCAAGAGCGTAGGGAAGGGCCTGCGCGGCCATAGGGCGTTCCAGGAGGGCCCAGAGCATCTCGGCAGGCCGTATGCTCGTAGGAACCCTGTGCGCAATGCCCTCATGCTCACTCGAGACGGGGTTCGTGCGGACACCGGATCCTCAGCTGGGGCGTTTTGTGACACGACACGGTTGAGGGGCGTGCCACAATGAGCACGTACCAACAAGCGTCGCAGACGGGGCCTTTTGTAGAGCTCAATGCTTTTGAGCAGCGTGCTAGAATCAGCAGAGATGCGCATGAGGGGCAAGGGGGGAGGAGGAACTACAGCAGCAGGAGGAGAGGAGGAGGAGGAGGAGGAGGAAAACATTGAGGAAACAGGCTCGTTCTCGTGCGACAAGAGCGCAGAAGGAACGAGCCTAGGAGAAGCAAAAAGGAGGAGGAGGATGAGGAGGAGGAGGAGGAGACACATGATCTTTCATCGCATTCGCAATCGTTGCCTGCGGCAGTGGCGACAGCTCTAAGCACCGTATTACCGTATTCCCCTAACGAAAGTGGCGCGTTCGACGCATAATCTCGTAATTTGTATTTGGTCGAATTGACAGACCCATCTTTTTCGCCTGGAGATTCTTCAGGGCTGGGCGGCCTCAGGCAGCAGGAGTATTGGTAAAAGTGAAGTCCAGCTGGACGGTGGTCGGGCAACACTACCTACGTTTCTATCCAGCTGCCTGCGGCAAACCCCTCTACAGTGCTGGTGCGACAGCTCAGCAGGAATGAAACGAACGCGCAATACCGACGACTGGTCTGAACTGGGCCTGGTCGTGAACTCAACCTCGTCTTCGTCCGCCCAGTACGTAGGGGGGAGTTCGGGGTCACGCCCCGTTGCAGTTCAGTGAGCGGTCTGAGCTGAGGCGGGTCGTCAACTCGACCGCATGAGCGGTCTGAGCTGAGGCGGGTCGTCAACTCGATCGCATGCTAGTCCGCGCGATAGGCAGAGGTTGGCGGAGGAGGAGGAGGGAGAGAAAAATGAAGACAAAGAGGAGTAGACCTGTCAGGGGCTCTCTGGGGGCCTCCTGGGAGCCTGCTGGTTGCCTCTTGGAGGCCTCTTGAAAACCTCGGGGGGCCTCTTAGGCCGTCTCAGGGGCTCTTGGCTCGTCTGATGCCTTCGGAGGCCGTCTTCAGGGCCTTTCTGGGCCGTCTTGCTGCACTCTTGGAGCGCTCTGTGCCCGTCTTGGAGCCCTCCTTGGAGATTCTTGGGCGATATTGGGTCGTCTTGGACCGACTTGGGGCCCTCTTTTGGCCTCATGGGTTGTCTGGGAGCTATCTTGGAGTTCTTTGGCGGCCTGAAGCCAAAACAGGTAGAATATGGGGCTTACGTTTTGGTCCTTTTCACCATGCTCATCTTCCTCCATTTCTCCTCCTCCCCCTCCTCCTCCTCCTCCTCCTCCTCCTTATCCTCCTTATCATCACCATCGTCATCATCATCATCATCATCAGCAGCAGCAGCAGCAGCATCAGCATCAGCATCAGCATCAGCATCATCATCATCATCATCATCATCATCATCATCATCATCATCATCATCATCATCATCATCATCATTATCATCACCCGTATCAGTATCATCATCAGCAGCATCATCATCACCAACATCAGCACCAACACCAGCACCAGCACCACCACCATCATCATGCTCATCATCCCCATCACCATCGTCATCGCCATCATCATCATCATCATCAGCATCATCATCACCCCCATCATCATCATCATCATCAGCAGCAGCATCATCATCACTCTCTGCATCATCATTATCATCATCATCATCATCGTCATCATCATCATCATCATCACCATACTCATCATCATCACCATACTCATCATCATCGCCGTCGTCGTCCCATACCACCTGCGAGCCTCCTTCAACCATCCTACAACCTTCATGTCAACCTCCACGTATTCCTCTTCCTCCTCGTCCACTTGTACTCCGTCCTTGTCCTCTCATTCCTCCTCCTCCGCCTTCCCGCACTTCTCATCGCCCACAAGTTTCCTTCCCCCCCTCCCATTCCGAACAGTCCCCTTCCCCGATCCTCCCCTTGATCACCCTTCCCTCCTCCATCCCTCCCTCCTCCTTATAAGCGGGCCTTCCCTGTCGCACCACCAACGTGCTTGTAGGCCCGGACGGGCGGTTTGTGTTTCGCTCAGTAGTGCCTCGTAGCTTTTAGTTCCAACGCCTAATATCGAAGACGCCTACAGCGAATCGATGCCGCCACACGCCTCTTGAAATCGCCCACATGGCCGAGCGTTGCGGCAAGAGCTCTACAAAGCTATCGGACCATGTGTTCCCACAGCCGTTGTGGAACCCCCTCGGGGAACACTTGGGGGAGGAAGGAGGAGGAGGAGGAGGAGGAGGAGGAGGAGGAGGGGGAGGAGGAGGGAGCATCTTGGGAGCCTCTGGGGCCACTCTTGGGGCCTCCTGAGAGCTTCCTGGGAGCCTCTTGGAGGCATATTGAGGGCCTCCTTGGGCCTCTTGGGGGCCTTTGAGGGATTCTTGCCCGTCTCAAGGCGTTCTTGGCCCGTCTGACGCCGTCGGCAACCGTCTTGGGGGCCTCTCTGAGCCGACTCGGGGCCCTCTTGGGTTGCTCCAGTTCCGTCTCGGAGGCCCTCTTGCGCAGTCTTGGAGGCCTCTTGGGAGCCTCTTGGGCCGTCTTCCGTCATCTCGAGGCCATCCAGGGCTGTCTTGGAGGTGTCTTTATCAAATTTGGACGCATCTTGGACGTTCTTGGGCCGTCTTAGAGGCCATCTTGGACCATCCTGGGTGAACTTGAGGGCCGTGTTGACCGTCTGGGAGGCCATCTGGGGCCATCTTGGAACCGTCTGAGGCGGGAAGCCTTTGCAGCCACCTTTGGGAATGCCTTTCGGGTGGCCAGCGCGCTGTGCCGAAGCCCCAGGGGGAGTTCTTGTGGAAAAAGAGCGAAAATCAACCCGTATAGGGTCTAGCACGCCAAGCACATTTGTGGCAAGCCAAGAGGGGGTGGCGGATCTCAACGTACGATTCCAAGGCCTAATATCGAAGACGCTTACGGCGAATCAGCGCCGCCCGCTGCCTTTCGGAATCGCCCATATGGCCGAGCGTTGCGGCAAGAGCTCTGCCAAGCCATCGGACCATGTGTTCCCCCAGCCGTTGTGGAAACCCCTCGGGGAACACGTGGGGGAGGATGGCGGGGAAGATCAGTAAAAGGAGGAGGAGGAGGAGGACGAGGAGGAGGAGAAGGAGGTGTAAAACCATCCGTCCCCAACTCCAGCATGACGTTACCCAGACTGGTCCCCCAGCGTTGCGTTTGAGTTGCCTGACGCCCGCCGGCAGTTGGCTCAAAAGCATCTTTGCAATCCGTCGTAAAAAAAGTGCGCGTTTCCTTATAATTTTCTTCCTCCGGAATTTACATAGTAAGGGAGCTGGTTCAACCGACCCACAAGTTTGCCAGCAATGTCCGCTGCCGCTGCCGCGGCGCCCGCAGGAGCCAACTTTACGGAAGAGGACATACGCGTTTACCACACGCATGACTTCATTGAGTTCAAGGAGACGTGCCAAAATAATTGGTCCGATCACAGCCTAGACTGCGCACCGGCCGACTGAAGTATCGAGAATGAGGTCATGGAGAACATCCGAAACACCTTGTTAACCGCCACGCATCCCGACCAGAAACCCACGGCAGACAACGTTGATCTGTTTACCACGGTGTGAGTCTGAGCGAGAACCAACGTTGCTATTCAATCGGCTCTGGGACGCGGTCAGCACCGCGATAAAATGACCAGGGTGTTGACGTCAGGAGTCAACGACCTGAAATTTGCGACCGGGGAAATCAACGACAGCGAACACAATTTTACCACCCACGCGAACACGCAGGACGTCATTAACAAAATGGCCGAGAAGATGAAGGGAACGGGCGGTAAAGGCGAGGGCGGAGGCTAAAAGCCTGGCAGTGAGCACAAAGCGAGTCAACAATCAAGTAATTGGACCGGCGATCGGTCTACACTCAGGGAGTGGAAGAGAAGCTCTCAAATACG